CCTAATACCAAATATTTACAACTTCCGATCTCGCTCGTTGAACAGAGACTTCTACAAATGTGTCGTGTCCGCAGGTCTCTACTTGCAGACTCAGCTTCAAAAGATTTTAAGATAGAACTAATTCGTCGAACTAATCTGGACAATACAAATACTGCATTTCAGAGGCAGGGCCATCTGCTGATGGCTCCGCTTCCTAGTATTTGAGTAGATTTTCAGGACCGGTTGCAGTCCGTATCCGTCGGTTTAGGATGAATTAAGAGCGGTATCCATGGTTCTTGAAAGAATAAACCGTATGAAGACCATCGGCCAGTTCTCATAAATCGTCCCAGAGAACTCCCTGGGTACATTTTTTTGGAGTTAAAACCCTTTCGGACCTGAATTTTTCCGTGGAAAATTTTTCTTCTAGCTATTGTTTATTACTTGTGAGCACATAAATATCATTATAGCGAAATTTGGAAGCTATTCGATCACAAACTAAGAAACTAGGAAGCTTTGAAAATTGGCACACCTTCTTAGTTTTTTAGCTTATGTCGAAACAATTCCAAATTTCTTAGTTATGTCGAAAAAGTTTATATCTTTAATATCTAACGTTTTTGATAAGAAATTGAATATATGTCAAGTATTTTAGAAATGATTGACACTTACCTAGCGGCTTGCTGAGACCAGCGCCGATTCATTGTTGCACTTGTACACAAATACTTGTAATGCTAACAGCAACACACAAAAATGGCAGGTTCAAAGCATAATTAGGAAGGGGAAGGTTCGTCTGAAGTAACTCTAGCAGGGGTAGTAGAAATATGCTGTTGCAGCGGTAATGCAGACATTTGAATTTGATGGTGGCAATTGCCACCGCCAGATCTGAAAGGGTTGAAGGTCGTAACAAGCGTAGGCGGAATCGGGGTGATGGCAAGTAGCTGCTTACCAAGCGAGTGGTCCGGGGATCAAATCATGAGTCACACGTCGGCTAAATCGCTTTCAAATTGCCACTACTATTCTGTTCGGAGTAGTAGAATATCTGACGCGTCCCAGAATGGGATTGGATAACGCCCAATGCTTTCTCTTCCCCATGTGCACACGGCAGCCATCAATTCAGTGCTGCTCCCGGTGTAGATCGTTCCTGCTGTTGTGTTATTCTTACACAACTGGCTCCAACTTTGAAGTGCTAAAAAGCACTATTGACTTGGACGCATACCATGCAAGCGATCGATCAAGATTTCTTTCTGTTTCAGTCCATGTATCGGGTATATTTCAGCTCTTCAATCAAGTGTGCATCTCTGGTTCGCTTCGTGACAAAGTGCAAGGATTCGAGGTTGTTTGTCATAGAATTTTTCCTTTTTTTGAGTAGTCCTACAGAAACGGCCATGATGGCGAGGAGGCGGGGGGAGGTGGGTGGGGATCGTTGTTGAAGGTGATAGCCCACGAGTGGTTAGTAGGGTGGTCCTAACGAAGTCCCGAGAGGAGGGAGAAATCGGGCATATGCCAAGTTCAGCTTCCTACCGTCCAACGGTGCCCAATGGCGTTAAGAAAATCCTTTCCCTTCGGCCATCGCGTGCACCCTTCAGAGGGCCATGCTGAATTTGGCATAGAGGAATCTCGAGAAGATCGTAGATGAGTTCTTATCAGAGGGACCGAAGGTCTATTTGACTTGTATTTTCTCAATGCCATGCAGATCCGAAAAAGGAAAAAAAGTGGAAAATGAAAAAAATTGTGTAGACTACTCCCTTCGTTCTGCAGGATAGACCCCTAGAATAAAACTACAACTGCAGCAGCAGCTGCAGTGTTCCCCATCCGAAGCAATCTGTTGTCTGGCACCCTCTCATATGTAATGCTCTTTCGCCTCATACTCTCCTCTCGCGCTCAGTCTCTCATTGCCTTAGCACAGCCGATTAGGAAGGTGAGTAAGCCCTTAACCTAGCGTTTTCGACGGATTCTTTTCCTTTTTCTTCGTTGGCTGTAATTCACACCAATACTTTCATATCCGTGCGCAAGAACCACACCCGTGATGCTAGGGCATGTCTTTGAATCCGTGGACGGCAATATGCCTATTTTTGCGAGCCTTGGGGAGGTCTCTCGTGTCTACAAACCACACTGACCGCTGATCTTCTCACAGTTTCTTTTTCTTATAGTTCTCATAATCGAATTTCTGAGTTTGAATTTTCAAGGGTCAATGTCCGGACTTATTCAACGCCATTGTATACGCGAAATTCCAAGAACAATTTGATCACGAGAGGAACAGATAAGTTCGCGGTGGGATCTTAGAAGCTCAACTTTTTCGTTCATTCCTCATTGATCCGATTCGCTTAATTTAAGAAAACATTACTCTCTTCTAGTCAATAAATGATTAGTATCTTGCACATCATATTTTTTGGTTGATGCTGTAAATTGAAATATTTTTCTTATGCCTTTTTTCCTTAGCAATCTCTGTAATTCGTTGGAATGTATGTAGTTAGCCGTCGCTAGTTCTTCTCGTAATTATGCTTTGCACATTTTCGCATTTTTTTCGCTTGCTTCATTCTATGTGCGAATTCTTTTTTCGTAGCAGTATTCATTAAGAGCAGTTTTATTTTCGAGACGAGTTAGCATGCAAATAACTTGTAAGCGTCATAAAGAATAAAGAAAATATCAACTTTGTTGAATTGTGACTAAGTAGAATAAAGAAGAAAGCTTTCCGGTCTGACAAAATCCTTTTTTTTGCATAATGCGCCTGCGCTCTTCCATTTCCATTCACGTCGTGGACATGTAAAGCAGTACGGCTACAGTGTCTTGTGGGGCACAGCCGAAATGCGACTTTTTTTTACAATCCCAGACAACTTTGGTACAACTTTTTGAATGTCCAACCTGAAGGGATGGAAGCCCTGGTTGAAAAGATGACGATCAGGGTCAACCCCGCCACATTGGATAACCCCTCCCCCCAATACCGACTTGACGGTGTTTTTGATGGAAAAGAAGTTGCGAAGAAGGGGATCGTATGAAATCTCTCATGAAGGAGGGGAGTCGTAAAAATTTTTCTAAAAGTCTCAACGGTAGTGTTGACCTGCGTACAGTAGAAGATCCAACAAGGGTCAATCCTACGTTGTTACTAGTAACAACGGGGTCCGTAACCTGAGCGGAATCGATATCCCGCCATTCGTCTGAAATAACATGTAGTTTGTGTGACCAGTTGACTTTTTCAGGAGTAAGTAGGCTAGTTGAGTTGGAACCAGTCCGTACCAATCCACCTTGGGGGGAGTACGTAAAAATTTCGCAAACATTAACAACGATAGATGTACCACTGGATCCATCCCTCAGTCGTGCGCTGCGGATACATTCCCTCGTCTCAAGTGGTCTCATGTTTACTTCCAGTACTATGTCTGTCTCTGACGCAATAAAAGGGTGATGTGCCATGATTCCTTTTATAGCACTCTACTCTACTTTTACTCCTAGCAGCAGCCTATGAATACGTGATAATGGCTAACTTGCTGTCTCGAATCTTTCGGTAGGATACAAACTGTGCCACAATATAGTTTATTAAAGTAAGTGTTTGCGTGTGAACCACTATAATTTATACCAGCACAGGGTAAACCCTATCTCCAGGGTAAACTACTCCAAGTACTAGCCGAGCACGTATTTGGGCTACCTTTTTGCTCACCTATTAGACTTAGACTTAGTTCCTCCCGTGCTGGAGAGCACATCGGGCGACGAATTCTTTCCACTGTTGCCGGTCCTTGTGCAATCATTTCTCCTTCATTCCTAGAAACATTAATGATCTTGAAATCATTCTCGAACGTTCGTCTCCCACGTACCTTCTGGTGTTTCTGGGACGGCCTCTTCCTTGGCGCCGGTAGTGTCTAGTTCATTCGGCACCTTTGGAATCATCGATTGGGTTTGTCATGCGTCAATCAATTATGTCCCAGCCAATCGAAGCCTATGCTGTGGCACAGTCAGGTGGAGCTATTCGAGGCCACAACGCTAAAATCCTCATTGGTGACATGTAGCGTATTTTCATAATCCGGCGTAGACATCTCTGGTGAAAGGCATTCTAATCCTCTTCACAATGCTAGCAGTACTTTTCCAAGTTTTACTTGCATATAGTGCAGTAGGAACCACTATGGAGTAGTATAAACCGCATTTTGATCTTCTGCGATATCGATGAACTGGCCCATATTGGCTGAAGTCGCCGGAAGACGGCGGCAGCCTTCGCGATCCGAAAAGCTCGCGATCCGAATGCGTACGTCAGTTTCGGCATCACCATTGTGAGTGACCGTACTTCCGAGGTAAGTGAAAATTGTCAACGGTCTCTAGTATCATATCATCAACACTGATGCTTAATTGCGCTCGATCAAAGCCTATCTTCATGACTTTTAATTTTTGGGCGCTAATGCGCAATCCAATCATATTCGCTTCGCTACTGAGGCAAGTAGTAATCTGCTGGAGTTCATTTTCTTCGGCTAGAAGTGCTATATCGTCGGCAAAATCCAAATCCGTGAGTCTATTCTGATTAGACCAACTGATGCCTGCCCTCACTTTCTCCATCGTTTTCCTCATTACGAATCTCCAGCAATATTTCGATACAGAATCGGACGAAGTAGAATCATCTTTGCCGCACTCCCGTGGCAATCTGAAAGAACGACGTATATCCTGTGTCCGTCCTTACACAGCAAGACGAGTTGAGATATAGGTTCTTGAATATGTTGATGAAAGGTTGCGGTACACCATACGTTCTCAGAATAGCCCATAAGAATAATGCTATCGAAAGCCTTCTTAAAATCGATAAAGTTGATGACGATTGGCTGGCAGTACTCGACACACTGTTCGATAATGTTGCGTAGCGTGAAGATTTGTATCCAACTGACCGTATCACCTATACAAATTTGTAATCATTCTTTCTGATATGTTGATTCTGTAGTATAAATGTCACATCAGAGACGGCATGATCAGCAGGGAAAACCAAGCGTTAACAGGCATATACATATATCAAAGTCCGAGCAGAGCTGTAAAAAGAAGAAAAGATGGGACGAGATCCGTGTTACAACTCTGCTGCGTTGCTGATACCTGCTACTATGTACGAGTGTAAAAAACCATTGCGACGAAAGGAAATGTTGACAATCAAAAGAAATGTATTGAATTGGGCAGGACTACATATATTTAGAGATCAGTATTATTTCGAGCCTTCTATTGTATCCTTTCTGGCTTGACGGAGTTCCATGTTTCGCTGGTGATAGAAGAACAAATCTTCCAACATACAGTTGGTTTTCTCCATAACTAGCTCGTACGTCTGCCACAATTAAGCGAATCTCAGAGAAACTGGTGCTCCCAAATAAGAGAGATGGTAGTGAGGGTACTGTTACGATGTTAGTGCGCTGTTCTGTTTTCTTCCGTTGTTATTCTACGGTGTATTTCTGAGAAGTTTTTCGATCAATTATGATTTTTCTTTTCTAATACGGCAGCATGCAAATGGAAACTCTTTGTGCAATCGGTCAAAGTGCTTAATTGCTCAGCATTCCCTCGCAATTCCAGGCAACAACTCCACGATGAGGTCCTAAGCCATTCTGTGGGTGGAATGGAGTAGCCAACGTATACCATGCATGTGCCGTTGTCGGATTCGAAAGTGCTCAACAACAGCGCTAAGGCCTTGCAATGTGAGGACTCAGCGCTGTTAGTGTCTGATGGCGACCAATGTGAACTTACGGAGAATGTACCCCTGGGCGCCCTGTGACACGCAACGTGGAATAGCTAGAAAGCTGCTCAAATACTCGGATTACGTGAGCCGCCGGCAGCATCTCACTTTGGCCTCAGCACCTCGATAATTCAAACAGGAAGAGAGGGAACACTCGTTCACGGCTTCATGTACGGTTTACTTGGCTCTTTTTTTTTCATTTTCAGTCAGTTCGGCGTCCACAATTTCATCGACCTGTGCACGCCAAACTGACTGAAGATGTTTGATTTCAATTCGGTCTGGGATTGTTGCTTAAGTGAGCCGATCGATCAATAATGCCGGAAATCTGTAAATAACAATGATAAAAAAAGAAGGTTTAGAATGATTTGGAAATGAAATCTCAGCGGTTACTGGGCGACAACATTGATTGAAGGTTCTTTTTGTAACGAACGAATGACCAAATTGGGTTCTTTTTTCAAATAGCATACCTTCTTTTTTGTCGTTTCATCTACATCTTTGTATACAATATCAAAAAGTGGTCCCATCATTGGAGCCATCATAAAGGCAATCATTGGAAGATATCTCTGATACGCTTCTTTGAGCTGAAAAATCAAGTTCGTCTCAGCAAGTCGAACCTTAATGAATAAGGGTGACTTATTAAAATGTTCAAAATGTAATAGCTGCTACCCAACGACACCGTTCGGGCTCGCACGAGGAAGTCGTAGAACGTCATTCACAATCAAGAAGTGAGCAAGTAAGTGGCAATTCGGAGCAATGGCAGAAAAAAGCAGATTTATTAAGCCTAGAATCGAATCCCTCGCTACGGGCCTTCCATCATTGCAGGCTACGCTAAATTGCATTCATAGGCAGCGATTACGATAGTTTTAACAGTTCAGAGAGAAGTGGGAATACTCAAGTGTACGACGGTGGCAAAAAAGCAGAGAAATCCGTTAGCGCAACGGGACCCCCCCTTTTTTTTCTTTGAACGCTGGTTTTCACTCATGAACAGATAACAGCTCGAAAGTTCGAATGATGACCGAGTCCTTGCGCACGGCGTTTGGGGGTGCTATGACAACCACTGACCTATACGAAGTTATTACGGTAACAGCTCAGAAAGCGGATGTATGAACGAGTTCATCGCAACGCGTTTGGTGCATGCCAAACCACGCTCCAATCGAGTTGCTCCAGTTGTGCCGCTGCTGGCAACGCAGCTCGTCCAAATCACCAAGTAAACTAGTGGGCGGAGTGCTTTCGAAGTCCTGCTCAGCAACCAGCGCACCTTTCGTCGTGAAAGCGCCACACCTCGCTTCCTTGGCAGCCAAGTAATTGAAAGTGTGATTCTTCCCCGATGCGCTCCCTCTATATCGTAATCGCTTCCTCTGAAAAAAGATACAACGGCTGACCCATCTAGGATGGTTGTAGAGAAATAGACGTGCGTATTGGTATTACTTATTTTGGGCATACTCAGCATGCGTGACACAAACATGCTTTCAAACCCCCACGACTATTAGTGGGGATCGTATGTGGGCCGCGCTTTACCGTCCACGTAAATCGCACCGTTATTTGCCCGACAGCATGTTGTTCCAAATAAAGAGAAAGTTCTTATAGAGAGTGTGATAATACATAACGACCAACATCTAAATGTAGTATGCACCTGTTCAAGACTGTAGGGCATTTTCTTGCTTCCTACTTCCTCCATGAGATAACCGTAGAACTCTCCTAGCAGCTCCTCCCAATGCTCTCGCCGATCTTTGCCACTGAGAGATGAGGCGAGCAAGTGAGCAATATCTGTTGCTGAACAACCGAAGTGGGCCGCCTATGAAATGAGACATTTGAAACATAGAGATAACAACCCTGTTTATTCGGATGATTGCGGTGAGCTACTGTTGTTCGCTGAATCATTAACGATACGCAACTGTTTGGGGATTTCCCACGAGCTTTTCTCTAGGTAAAAAGTTTTCGACGGAACGATGGGCATTATACTTTGGAAATATCCCATTTAGAGGGCAAATAGCATTCCGTGCCCTCTTCATCAATCCCATTAAATCAAAATCATCATGAGTATGAGGCGAAAGAGCAAAACAGATGAGAGGGCGCCAGACAACAGCCTGATAAAAGAAAAAAATTGCAGCTGCAGCAGCTTACTTTGCAAGGCCCTAGCGCTCTTGTCGGGTGATTTCCGTGCACGGGAATGCCACACCTGTGATTGTCGTCGGAGAGTCTATGCCTGGGCTGTGCCTGTTACCTACACATCAATTTGCGACTAAAACGATCTGCAAGTTTCCCCCTTCGTTGAATCTGCTGCCAAATAAACGACTGCAGTACGGTGGAAGGCTCTGTTGCCTTGTTTGTCGTTGTTGTTCTTTGTAGCGAAACTTGATCTATGACTGAGTATCACACTTTTCGCTCGACATTGCTCCTCCTTCTATCACTTATCAGTATAATACCTGATAATCTACTACAGCTGCCAATTCCAGTTCGTCACCATTTTGTTCCCAAAGAAT